TGCGTGTTTCCGAGAGGCAACACACATCAATCTCTAGACTTTCGAGCGTATGAGTTAAACTTGCTTGTTGTCCTATACGCATTAGAGTTCTTACGTTGAATGAAGCCAGTTTGAGCGTAGAGTGAGGTCGGCGGAATGGAACGGACGGTCCCGAGACAGATGTCAAGGAGGATAGCGGCGAGCTACAACATGAACCTACGTCAGTGGCACCATTCGGGGTGGGACAAACAGTAGAAAAAGTGGGGGTTTTGTGTGGGGGTGGGTGAGAGTGTTGCGTGCAGATGTTGAGAGAAAGGTTTGCAGAGGTGTAATAATCTGTGACATGCGTTTGTGTGTCGAAAGTCCATGGTTAGGTTGCTTGCAACTTACGTACATCTTCGCTTAGCATCACAATGTCGTCTGCATACTCTAGATCAGACAGTCTGCCACCTGGGAGTAAATCAATATCACTATCCTCGCACCAGGATAGGGCTGTTTCCACAATAAAATGTATAATAAAGTTAAATAGAAACGGAGAAAGAGGGCAACCCTGACGAACACCACTTTTCTTGGTGAATTCGGGCGAAAAAGTGCCGTAAGCCCGGACTCAAATTCGGCTATCAGTATAAAGCGATCGTAATATTGAAATAAACTTCTCGGGTATACCCTTCAGGGAAAAGCGACCCCAGAGTTTAGAACGCTTGACTGAGTCGAAGGCCGCTTTCAGATCCAGGAAGACAGATGGTGGGTCTACGAAAAGAATGTCGATGCTCCAGAATTTGGCGGAGAGTGAAGATGTGGTCGATACAACCTTGACTAGGTCTGAAACTAGCCTGGCTCTCACGAGTGCATCGAATCGGGTGTGGATGGCCTAGATGCTCCCTGGCTTTCGAAGTTCCCAGTTGTCGCAACACCTGGGTTCACCGACTTTGCCGCAGATTGCAACGCATAGACAGCCATCATCAGACACAGCAATATCCTTGCCCAGTGGATGGTCGTATTAAAACAGAAGGTAACTGTAGAGATGCAAACGTCGTAGTTACATAGGAAGTTTTACATAGACATATCGGTCGTTTTCAGATTTACCTGTGTATTTTGTTCCTGAAAATTAACTCGTTTCATCTCTACCTCTGGGGGTCTAATATACAGGAGGTAGTTTTACCGCAGTCATGGGTGGCGTGAAATAATTCGGCCATTGCTGTATTCCATGACTTTTCTAATCCCATAGGGTAAGTAAAACAAAGTCAAACTAAGCTTTATGCACCCGAAGGGTGAATCTTCAGCGATATTTTGTCCCTGAGCTTAATGACTGTTTTCATAGTAGCTAACAAGAAACCTGAAGCTTGATCATAAATTACATTGGCAGTGCTCATTGTTATCTTCCTTTTTTCAATCTGTGGTAGACAAAGCGATTTAAACTGAACCATGCAAGTTACGGAAAGGATAGCTCTTCCAGGTACGTTCTGAGATTCGTTGCGTTACCGTCCGTTTAGTAACGAGTGTTCCCTTTTTGTTGGAGAGCTCACAGAAGATGTGGATGATTTAGCACTATTTAATGCGTTCAAAAAATATCCTACTTGTCGATCCGCCAAAGGTATGCCTACATTGAACTAACTAATCCGTCATCAGTGGTTATGACTAACGGTAAATCACGTGGCTACGGATTCGTGCGGTTCTTGACCGAATCGGATATGGATAAAGCGTTAATTGAGATGCAAAACTACTGCGGTTTAGGGTACAAGCCGATTCGAGTAAGTTTGGCCATACCAAAACGCTACAATGCGGATGGAAGTCTGGCAGTCACAACCTCGTCCAGTTCGGAAACCACTTCCTCCATCGTCCCTAGTGGTAAGCTAACACTCGAGTGTTTGCACTTCTTTAGTCACAGCATTCGATGCTTACTCTGTCAATCAATCATGGACACAGCAGTTTTGCAAAACATCATTAAACAATAGCCTCATTACATTCACCTTGAGATTGTTTAAGTTCGTACCTGGAAAAGTATGAGAAATTGTTTCCCGTTGGTCTTGTGGACTAAATTCATTTTTGTTTGTTCTCTGGGCCTGAAAAATTGCTTGTGAGCGTTTCACCGGCAATCGATGTACCATATCCAGTTCTTTTGGAATGACCTTGTTTTGCTTCTATCCGTTTTCTTATTTCAGTTATTCAACGATAACCTGGTCCCTTGTCTTTATTTCTTCCTGTCTGTGTCACTGTTGATCTATCACGAGGGCGTTCTTATTGACGTGCACATGGGATCCAATTCAATGCGCCTATTTACCGATTTGATCGACGAGCACCAAGCCTCTAGAAATTCCCTCGCATATTTTGACTGGACTTGGTGAATAATTCTAGCTGATTAATAGTGGAATTTGTGTCCATAAGTCGACCGACTGCCTGCAGAAAATTATTTGGAAGTCATTAGAGAGCAGTGGTAAGAGGCAAGAGCTGTGTTGCCTACAAAATATACTGAAGAAGTTCTCTTAACTATATTCTCCAAACTGGAATAAAACTAACACCAATGATCCGGGAACAGCAGTCTGCATTTAGGAAGCTTGACCCATTGCATCTCTCTCATTACACTCCATGAAGATCAACAAAGGTACCACCGGACTTTGGTGGTTAGTAGCTTCTCCACATCGATCCTACTGGGACCCGTGTGTGATTCACCACCCCCAAGTTTCACGGTTTAGACTGTCATCATCACGTTGTGTGATGATTTCGTTGCATTTTTCCATATGAACCGCCAATTTTCTGTGAACGGTTCCTGTGGGTATGCTGGGGCGCAGCTTTTCACGCTCGGTGATCAATGACAGAAGCACTGAAAGTAATATTTCACTTTCCATGGTGAACGGGACTGATGTAGCTTCCCAGCTCGTAGATCGACGATTCGAACTGCACAATAGTATCTCCAGTTGTGCTTCAACAATCATTTTTCATATTAACACCAAATCCCATTAATATGGATGTTTTTTCACCACCAGCATTCACTTAGTTTAATACCGGCCGAATCGGGCATATGGGAGACACCGAGGTAGTCTGTTGTGTTTTTTGTAATGTTCCGTCAGAAAATTCGTGGTCTCGCCGAGTGTGGACGTACAGGTTTTGTTGATTGGGACATGTATTGCGTCGGGCTTACTGTTGCCGCTCCAAGTCGTAGGAAATCACGCCGGCGAGAGAAAATCGCTGGAAGAAGCATGAGGAAATAAGATCGTCTTTTATCTTCCAAGCTAGAATCCAAAAGGCAAAGTGGTTGGTTGAATATCCTGACGGACGTGTAAGCAAGTGCCTCGAGACAGGATCTGTGCGACAATTGAGATACAGACGGTCACGTTTAGGGTGAAATTCTCTTACCAATGTCCGTAAGTTGGTGTCCATAAAAATCCTTCGATTTTGTTTGGGCAGATTGAGCAACGCGGACAAATAAATGCTAGTCAGTTGTTATTGACCGGTTGACAACAAAGAGAGACTAACCGAAAACTAAATACAAATTTCATTGCTGATTCGCTCTCAAAGAGCATGTCATGGGAATTGAATAAAAGCAGATGGATAGTTTGATTAGTTAAATGTCGCACCTCTGTGGTTGTTCACAAATGAGTTAGCTTTTAGTGCAAACGGATCGTCATCACGACGAGACTGCACCTTGACGCGGTGTGATGGCTTGCGTGCCTCCATGACCTTACGAGCTACACAGGATGGCTTTTCACAGCCGGAGATCTAATCATGCCTGAAAGGTCAACGGGCAGAGGCCAAATGAAGACCAGTCTCACAAACCAGCTGCTTAGGCACCCCCTGGCTTCTTTCTTCTATCCACACCCGC